ATATATATATATTATTGTAAATTTATGTTTTTAATTCTTGTGATTCTAAAAAATAGTATTATTTTAATTCTTTTATATATATTTTTTATTCTTAAATTTAAAACTTGTATTTTTATTTTAAAAATATGAAAAAAATATTATTCTGATTTTTCTATTTAAATGTCTTTAGCAAATCTATTAAATAAAATTAATTTACTATTAAATTCATTGCACAAAATTCTCTTTAATATGTGACATTTATTAATAATTAAATTATACTGTTTATTAATTCTTAAATAATATAATATTTTCACGCTTAAGCAAGATCAGGAGTTCGAATCTTGCTTGTATATGCAGTCGTGTTAAATTTTGGGACCAGCTATCTCACCCTTTAAGGTGCCTCTAACGTAGCAGGAGATTAGTCACTGCTATCGGCGGTGGATACTCCAGGAACGAACTTAAAAAAAAATAAAATTTGCAACATAATATTTGGAGATAGAATAAAAAAAGTATGTAAATAGAATTTATTAATATAATAAATAATAATACTTATTAAAACAGGTACAAATAAATATTTTTTATGTTCTTATTTTTATTTTTATATGTTAATTCACTTAATATCCTATCACTTAAAGGATAAAATATTAATAGATAACTTTAAAATTTCATGATTAATTATTATTTGATCATAGATCAAAATTTCATATTTTAAAAATTAAAAGAATTAAATATTTATTTTAAAATAAATAAAAAAAAATTATATATTAATAAAAGTCAAGTGACTAAAAGGTAGAATGTAACAAATGTTTGTTTTAATTTTAGATATGCTACTTTTCAACTCTTTATTTTCCTTAAAAATATTACTTGGAAGCTTTGGTACCTTATACAGTAAGCATCTTTAATGCGTTTTATGATAGTTTGAAAGTCATATTCTAACATAACTTTGTTTTGTTACATTCTGAACTTGTTTTCATATATCTTGATATTACTTATATCTTCTTTACAAAATGGGTAAACGATCAAACAATTTTATTTTCAATTCAAATTTCACGTCCATCTTTAAAACAATCAAGCAAACTTATAAGTAAATGATAAAATATTGATATATTTAGGATTTAGGGGAATATGAATTCAGATATTTTAAACAAAATTGAATATTAAGAAAATATGATTATGGGATGAGATCTTATTAAAAATAATTAACAAAATTCATTCACATAGTTTTATTATAAAAAAATGTAGATATTTCACACTATAACATAAATGAAAAAAAAAACTTGTAAACTGAGTGTTTTATATTATAATGTCTCTTAATTTCTATTAGGTAGGCTTGATGTAGATTACAAAAGTAATTATATTTATGTAAAATATGACATGAATTACTTTTTAACTAACATTCAATAATGGAGTTAGACCAAAGAAAATAGCTTTAAAAAGTCAATAATCTTTTTGAATAATGATTACAAAAATGTGTTGATATTGTTAAACATTACATTTTATAATATATTTTTTATTCTTTAATTATTATCTAAATATAATGAGTGGTCGTGGTCGTTGGTCAAATCATTTACAAGATTCTTATTAAATAATACCTGTATTACATATAAAAAGCATTAAATAATTCAATAGCTATTTTTTGTCTTAATTACCGCGGGTAAGGCATTTAAAGAGAAAAAAAAAAGCTTCAAGATGAAAAAAACAATAAAGAAAACTTATGACAAAAGAAAAAAAAAAAAAAAAAAACAAGTCGAGAAGAGTGACGCTCACGCACAACTAGGCACAAAAACGCATAAAAACCCAAGGGCTCCATGGGATTGAACCCCAAACCCAACCCCGACTCTGTGTTGACAAAAGACCGAATATCTCTCTCTTTCTCTCTCTCAAGTCGCAACATTAACAACAGAAGAAGGATTGAAGCGAAGGAATAGCGTAGAAGTTGAAGTAAGAAATGGAAGATAGTGTTAACAACAACAGCATCAGCGCCAACAATGTCGCCCAAGCCATAGCCACTGCGCTTGATTGGGCTTCTTCTCCCCAAGCTCGACAAAACGCCGTCGCTTTTCTCGACTCCGTACTCTCTCTTCCTTGGTCACACTTTTCATGCATCTCATCACAACCTATATCTCCATTTTTTTTCTCTCTCTATTTTCACTTTCTCTGCTTGCATTATTGCTTGTTTATTCTAATAACTGCGATCTTTCTTACACAAGCCCTAACCAGCATAACTCACATAGCTCATGGCTCTATTCTATTCATAAACATAAAGCATTACTTTATCTCTATACACTCTTTTTGTTAGTAATTGTCTTAGATTGATCGTTTCGTGTTCTCAATTGTGTTGAGAATGGTGCTGCTTCATTTGTTATGTTCTCAATTGTGCTGACAATGATGCTGCTTCATTTTTAATTTTTTTTAAAAATTAAATATAATTTTTGCATTTTGAAATGAAATGAAGGATACAACGTGAAGTTTCTGCGCATGAGTTTTTATTTTTATTTTTATCAAGATAGCAATTGTTTGTTTCTGGAAGAAGCTTGTGTAGTTTCCGTTACATAATTGGTCTATGAGTTGTTGATGCTTTATGGTGATTAATTGTCATGTTTTAACATTTGGCTGATTAATCGTTGCATGAGTTTTGCTACTTTACGGTGAATGATTTTCATGCTTTAATATCTGACACGCGGCGGAAGCGGAGACTAATTAGTTTGTGTAAAATTTGTCCAGATCAAGGCAGGTGATATTCGGATACTGGCAAACACATCATTCCTTCTGGTGAAAAAGAACTGGTCGTCTGAAATCCGCTTACATGCCTTTAAAATGCTTCAGGTCCAAATTCTCGTCGGTCTTAATTGTGTTTTCAATGATAAGTCTGTTTAGTTGTTTATCCTTGTGCCTTATATGAAATTGTATCTGCACACAGCATTTGGTGCGCTTAAGGTGGGAGGAGTTAAGCCCTGCAGAGCACAAGAACTTTGCGAATCTTTCCATTGATTTGATGTCTGAGATTGCAGACCCTTGTGAAAATTGGGCTCTCAAGAGCCAGACAGCTGCCCTTGTTGCCGAGGTTTTCATTGCTACACTCTTCATTTTCATTTACATTGCTTCTTATTCTGTCACAGTTGCAGTTTTTCTTTGCATAAATTATATTCAGTTTGGCGGTTCTTTCACAGGTAGTTAGAAGAGAGGGTCTTAATTTATGGCAAGAAATGCTTCCATCTTTGATTTCTCTATCCAGCAAGGGTCCAATAGAAGTAAATTTCATGTTTCCCTTCTTGCATCATTGTTGGATCGAGTTTATTCTATTTCAGCACACTTACAGTATATGTTTATATTTTTTATGATTCACAATTGTGTATCAGGCTGAGTTGGTTGCAATGATGTTGCGGTGGCTTCCTGAAGACATTACAGTTCACAATGAAGACCTAGAAGGTTTATAAATTACGATGTCTTTAGTTTTCTTGCATGGATGTGTGAATGTGGCTCATGTACACAAATTGAGTAAAAGAATTGAACTTTCTCCAAATTCATAAATCTATTTGACTCGAGCAATGGAGCAATGAGTTATTCTGGTGAAATTTTTTGACACCGATTAATAAGTTTCCCTGTAGATGGAAAAATTAAAGGGACATGCTAGGATGGCATGTTTTTATTAAACTTATCTTAGAAATGTTTTTCATCTCTGTCAATATTACGTCACCATCTGATACCAGGAAGGAATAGAAAAAATGCATGTCACTGTGTGAGTGGAGAGAGACAGAATGTAAACAGAGGAAGATGATTGCTGTATGTAATGGGATGAACTAATTTTTGTGATTTTTAGGAACCATGTGTGCATATTATACCAATAAACAGTATCATTAATTGCTGATTGTGGAAAATGACGGCAAGCCAATAATCTGCTATATCATATAGCGGATAGCATTACGGGAAAATAGAGGAAGTCACCTAGCAGTTGAAATGTAAGATATATATCAATTGTATGTGTAAAAAATTAAGCTGTATCCAAATAGAAATGAAATGCGTAATATTAACTCAATAGTTCAATTGATTGGATACTTGCTGAAGATGACAAGAGGATGCAAGACTCATGCCACAACCACAATAACTACAGCGGCCGCAATAGCAGATGAAGTCATGGTTGCGGATCCAAGGAATTCCACAACACAATAGCACTATAGTGGCTATTTGACAACACTGCTAATAAACTAGGTGTTCCTCAAAGGAAATATGAAACATAAACTCAACACTCCTAACACATTGACTCTTTTAACATTCAAATGTTGTATTTGTATTTTGTCTTTTGTGACTTCTCTATGTATGATATTGAATTTTTTCTTGCCATGTTAATGTATTCAGGTGATCGGCGAAGGCTACTTTTGCGTGGGCTAACTCAATCGTTGCCTGAAATTTTGCCACTATTATACACTGTAAATCTCAGCCTGAAACCTTATCACATATTTTTTGTTAATCCTCGTTAATGTTGTTATGCTTGATGCAGTTACTAGAAAGGCACTTTACAGCTGCATTGAGTGAAGCTGGTAGACAACAGATGGATATAGCCAAACTGCATGCTGCCACTGTAACAGCCACTCTAAATGCAGTAAATGCATATGCTGAGTGGGCTCCAGTGTCAGATCTTGCCAAGTCTGGCATCATTCATGGGTATGTATCTTTCCTGTACTGTCTTGCACTGCAATATTCTTGGTATATAACCATGCTCTGATTTTGTCTTTCTGCCAACCTTGTTTTTCTGTTAACTCCCTGCAGTTGTGGTGTACTACTATCTGCTCCAGATTTTCGTTTTCATGCTTCAGAGTTTTTCAAATTTGTCTCTCCAAGGTATGCATTATTGTTCTCTAATGGCTTTATACATATTTCATTGATCAATAATACCATGGGTTACTCTGAATTATGATTGTAGGAAGAGGCCTGTTGATGCATCTGCTTCAGAATTTGACCAAGCTATGAGCAGCATCTTTCAAACATTGATGAATGTATCTAGAGAATTTTTGTATAGATCTGGTTCAGGTGCTGTGTCCATAGATGAGGGTGAATATGAATTTGCTGAATACATATGTGAAAGTATGGTGTCACTGGGTTCTTATAACTTGCAAAGTATTGCTGGTGATAGCACCCTACTTCCGCTTTACCTTGAACAGGTATGAGTTATATAGTAACACTGTAACATTAAGCAGCTTGGGATAGGGAAAACTTTGATTAACATGACATAGATTTGTTATGGTTTTGGTTTCTCTTTGGAAAATTTGTCATATATTCTTTGTTTTGAATTCAACATTGTAATTACAGATAACAGAATATCTTGGGTTAGTAATACATCTTGCAAAATTTTCCACACAACTTGTTTGCCAAATAACAAGTTCTTTTTTATCATTTTGCTCACACTCAGAGTAGTTAATTGCACGTGATAGTAGCACTATTGTGCTGTTGTGTCCTGGGGTGGCCCCGTTCCTCTCTTCTCCGTTGCGTTGTGTTGTGTCTGTCCGTCACGGCTGTAGCAGCATGATTCACAGTTGATATAGTGATTTTTTTCGGGCATTGTGTCCACTAATGGGCTGATGGGTCTGAATACTCTTTTACCCTTGGATCAGACTCATTTCATGCCTTTTTTGGGGCAAACTTGTAAAATATCAGACCTTATTCATGAGTTGTGTTTGTTCATTCCTCTCACCTTCTTTGTGCCCAAGCCGTAGCCTCAGTCTTGCTGTGTTCTTCACTCTTCCACAAATAGCAGCTATGATCATCATCGCACACCACCTTGTTCTCTGTTCTGACTTCTGCATACCTTGTTCGGAGGGTGTCTTGTCTACTATCTTCACATTTGACTTTTATGTTCTCAGTCTTGTTCTTGACTTTTCTGTACTCAAATTTTTGTTTTTTAATTTGTTTTTAATTTTTGATTATTTATTTTTATTTATGAAAATATTTCTATTTTTTAATTATGTTATTTTTAATTTTATTTTTCAAAAAACTGTTACACCTTTTATTTATTTTTTAATCCTGTTATTCTTTTTTATTTTTAACATTTTTAATTGTTATGTTTTCTAACTCTGTTTTTTTATTTTTTTTATTTTTAATTATGTTTTTTAAAAAATTTTAAAGTCTATTATATTTTTTAATATGTTTTCTAATTTTGTTTTTTTACTTTTGTTATTTATTTTAATTTTAATTATGCATTTTAATGTCAATGTTTTGTTTTCTCTTTCTTTCACTGTTGTGTTCAGACGAGTAACCATATTTTGTCCTTTCTTGTTTTCTTTTATATTACTTGGTTTTTGTTTTTGTTGTTATTAACTTCTATTCTTAGCTTAAAATAATGAATTTTAATTATTAACTATGAATAAGCCTTCAATATTGGGTAATTTTTTTGTGCATTTATATATATGTAATAAAAACTATTTAATCTATATCTAGAAATTTCATATTAGCGGTCATCTCTCTATAGTGGTTTTGGGATCAGCTGCTCCACATTGCAATCCTGGATAACTATTCACTATGTTTTGAACTTGCGATGCATGAAGGGAACATTTTGCCCTTTCATTTTACTATTGTACATCAACATGCATTTATCTTGAATTTTACTTAATCCTTTCATTTTGATTTCTCATTTCTCTCCAGATGCTGGGATTTTTCCAACATTTCAAGTTTGCTATTCATTTTCAAGCCATGAACTTCTGGCTGGTATGTTGGATTACTGTACCAAATTACTATCTGGTGGTGTTCCATGTTTCTTGGAAAATAGTCAATACTGTGTATCAAATGGTATCTCATTTCTTTCCTCAAATGTTTACTTGCAGGTCCTAATGAGGGATTTAATGTCAAAGCCAAAAATTTCCACACATGCAGCTGCTGATAGTTCAGCTGTTAGTAGCAAAGGTTCTGGAGAGGTTGAAAATGCAAGGAAAAAGACTCTAAGTTTTGTTAGTGATGACTTCTGTGGTGCAATTTTGGATACATCTTTCATTCGCATGCTCAAGAGAGAAAAAATTCTGCATGAGACTGCCATTTCATTAGGAGCATTGGAGTTATGGAGTGACAATTTTGAGGGCAAGGGAACCTTCAGCCAGTATCGCTCTAGACTGGTATGTCTCATGCACATGTTAAGTCAGATAATATTGTTCATCATATGAATATACAATTTCATTCCCTTCTGTTTACTGGAAAAATTTCTGTTATGGAATGTATTGTAAGTTATTGACTTATTATTTTACTGAAAATTTTCATATTGAAGTTTTAACATAGTACTCGGAAGTAATGGTTTATTGCTTGCAATTTTTCCATTGATTTTATGTAAATCTTAAGTAAACTATCCGTCATGGGTTTGTGGAGTATCCTACTGGCTGAGTTATCGGAAACTTATGATTTTGCTGTATTCCTTATAATTCAACTTTTGGACATTTAAATATGAAAAGATACAGAGAAAGACATTTGTGCAACTGAAATTTTGGCCTTTTAAAATTTAATCCCATACCAATTTTGCACAACAGAGAAAGCTGTAAATATACTGAAATATTTGGCTTTGGTATTTTAATTGTTTTTTTTTTGTTGTTCTCAATCTTCTATTCTTTTTTAAGCTTAAATTCAAATGAACCTTTTCAAAATATTTTTGACTGATGAATGGTTTCTTAAAACAGTTGGAGCTGATTAGGTTTGTTTCTTCTTACAAACCCCTGATAGCTGCTACCAAAGTTTCTGAAAAAAATGATACGATCATTAAAGGTCTCTTGCTTTCACCAGCACCAACTCAGGTATAACTACCTTCTATTCCAATTTTTAATGTATTGTTGTATTGTTGATATTTTGATTTCTAAAATTGTCAGCTCGTCACCATCATTTCAATCTTATATTTAATTGTCAGTTATGGTTATGGGTTCTGCTTTTCTCACTGTAGGACTTAGCTGTGATGGAATGCATGCAGTTGGCTTTAGAGAATGTTGTAAATGCAGTTTTTGATGGATCCAATGACTTTGCCAAGGCAAACGCCGAAGTCCAGTTTGCATTATGCAGAACATTTGAAGGTTATTTTAGTTAATTTTCCATTTGTTGCTGTTCTAGATTTGCTTACTTAGTTAAACCTCTGCAATAATTTTGGTTATGTACATATGTCTTGTAGGTTTACTTCAACAATTTATTTCCTTAAAATGGACGGAGCCTGCACTAGTTGAAGTACTTGTCCACTATTTGGATGCTATGGGCCCCTTTTTGAAGTATTTCCCAGATGCAGTTGGCAGTGTTATTAATAAATTATTTGAACTTCTAACATCTCTTCCCGTTGGAACCAAGGTTCTCGCAACAATCACTTTTCATTGTTACTTTCAACTATTGATAAATTTTGTAGCAAGTTAAAAACTATATGTTTCTTGATAGGATATGTCAATGCCTGGTGCACGGCATGCAAGGCTGCAGACCTGTACATCATTTATTAGGATAGCAAAAACTGCTGACAAAAGCATCTTGCCTCATATGAAGGTGCATTCTTTAAACGCCAATTGTTGGATAAACTTATATATGAAATATATATATAAGAGACTATTATATATAGAGGAATAAACTTATATATGAAATTTATAGAGGAGGGATATGCAATTCAATTTATGAATTCATCTCGTGTAAGCCAAGTCATAGCATTATAAGTGTGTTTGGGAAAGATTAAATTCCCATATTTCAGCTGTTTTTATGAGAAAAAAAGCTGTTTGTAGAATAAGCTAGTGGTTTGGAAAACTAGCTGGAATTTATAAACAGCTTTTTTTCTGGAAATTTAAGCTGTTTTTATGAATCTGAAGATTTGGCGCTTATGATTATTTTCAAACAGCTTTTTTTCTTCTAAAGTTCATTTACTGCACAAAAGCTGATTTTTTTGTTGTATAGAAACGAATTAAATATTTTAAAATTGCTTTTCACTAAACTTACACAAACAAAAATTCATTTTGGTTATAATCAATTACAATTATAATCGATTATTAAAATAATTTAATTTTACAACTTTTCCTAACACGCCCTAAGAATCAGCTACTGTAGGGGTCACGCCAAACTAGCTACAGTATCTTTGATATCCTCCAATAATATAATGTGTCAAAGCACCTGTGCAGCAATATGAAAATTTTTGTTTTCTTTTTCTAATCTTTGCAATTTTGATATGAATATCTTGCAGTTTGATTTTTTTTTTCTAGTTTGCTTTGTCAGCTGTTATTGTAAAAATTGTTCTTGAAATCAGTTTCCATGCATCTCATATTTGTCTTCTGATCATTCCTATCTTGTTTTCATACTTTAGTCTTCTTCCCCTCTTAGACATGTGAACTTATTAGTGTACAATGCTATTTCACTTGATGAGCCTAACCTCTTATAAATGTTGATGTTGACTTTGAAACTTAAGAATGGGAGATTAATTGGAAATAGGTAAGTGAAATTTAAATCTTTGACAGAAGCCGAATGTGATTTTCAAAGTGGTACTTTTATCAGGTGAAAAGAGTGCTATTGATTATTTTTGTTAGAATGAAAAGCTAAACTTTGATCAAAATTTCTAATGGTATTGGTAGGCTAGATTCTCAAACCTATTTATAATTTTGATACTATAGAAACCCAAATCTTTGTAATGGATTGGTTTAGTTTCATTAATTTTTAGTTGGGTCCCCAGAAGCAGCCTAGGATAACTTGTGCCCTATGGATTTCCTATGATAGGTTCCTAATTATAATTATAATTTTTGAAATTAAGGGACCTTATTGCACACTTAAAAATAAAGACCTAGGTGAAAATTAAAATAGTATAGGGACCTATATATCAATTGATCCGATTTTAAAAAATTAGATTTATAATGACCAGGAGTTGACTTTTAGTTGGACAAGAAGGCCAAGAGTCCATTAATAATATATTAATATCATATTTTGCATATTTACATTGCATTGTTGTGCTTATTTGAAATAACTTGTATAAAGGTTTGGGACTTTGGGCCTTAAATTATTTGGTTTAGTTCCTCAAATTTAAGATAAATTTGTTTTTGGTTCCTCAAATTAAAAATTGTTGTTTTTAGTTCCTATAATTTTAAAAAATATTGTTTTAGTCTCCTGGGTCACCATTAACATATTTGAAAGTGACAAATTGAGACAGTTATGTAGTTGTAGTATCAGTTGGATTTAATGTGATGTTTTCACTAAGAGGGACACTAGTAGGTATATTTTATGCACCAATATTTAACAAATTCCTAACAAAATTTGAGTATAAGGACTAAATTAAGATTTTTTAAAATTACAAGAACTAAAAATAAGAATTTTAAATTTTAGGGACCAAAAACAAATTTATCCTAAATTTGAGAGACTAAAAACATATTTAAGCCAATTATTTTTTAAACTTGTTACATTGTGGAGTAGAATCAGTAGATAAGTAAACAAGGTTAAGGTTTTATCTGACTAAAGGTTATTCAAGGTTTGGCTTATGTGCTATGTTGCAATGTCATGTCTGTCAGGAGACAAATAGTGCATTACCATTGTGTCAATTATTCGATATAGTTTTGGAGGAGTAATGTTTGTTTAATTTATCAATTCTATATGTAGGGCATTGCTGATACAATGGCAAGTTTGCAAAGGGAGGGGCGTTTACTCCAGGGAGAACATAATCTTTTAGGCGAAGCTTTTCTCGTTATGGCTTCTTCTGCTGGGTAAGGATCAAACTGGAGATAATTCTGTTAAATTTTTGTTTGATACTCTGTTGAAATTTGTAAAACCTTTTCTTGTTATTGCTATAAATTTGGCTCAGGATTCAACAGCAGCAAGACGTTTTAACATGGTTACTAGAACCTTTGAGCCTTCAATGGACACAAACGGAGTGGCAGGATAAATATTTGTCAGGTCCACATGGTTTGGTTCAGTTGTGCTCAGAAGGGCCTGTTATGTGGTCTATTTTTCATACAGTGACATTCTTTGAGAGGGCACTTAAGAGGAGTGGATTGAAGAAAGCCAACTGGAATTCAGAAAACAGCTCAACACCAAATTCAACTCCTTTAAATCCAATGGCCTCTCACATATCATGGATGTTGACTCCTCTGTTGAAAGTATGTATACAACCATTTAGAAGCCGGCCATGTTATGTTTCCTGTAGTATTTTGCAACAAAATGGTCACTGTTTTTAACCCTGCTCTCTAAGTACTTTGTATTAATAAGTATAGTATGTTCTTATTTTCCAGCTACTTCGTGGTATACATTCCCTTTGGTCTCCATCTGTACATCAAGCTTTACCTGGAGAGATTAGAACTGCAATGATCATGAATGATGTTGAGAGGTTCAGTCTTCTTGGAGAAGGGAACTCTAAATTACCAAAGGGTTCATTGACTGTCACTGATGGATCTAAGGTCAACATGAATAAAGAAGGATATGCTGAACCAAATGAATCAGATATACGAAACTGGTTTAAAGGCATCAGAGACAGTGGGTAAGTGTGCATATCTTATTTATATTTTTTATTTATAATTTATTAACTTTTGTCCCAAGTTTGATTTGTCTTCCCCTCAACATTGTTTTTGCACCAAATCTCTAGAAATGACAAAATAAAGTTCCTTGAAAAAGAAAATCCTGTATGTATGACATCTTTATTGTTTTTTATGCACATTTCCATTTCTTTACTATATCCTTGGTTTATATGAATAGGTATAATGTATTGGGCTTGTCAGCAACCGTTGGGGATTCATTTTTCAAATATTTTGATGCGCACTCTGTTGCTGTTGCCCTAATGGAGAATATACAGTCAATGGAGTTCAGGCATATAAGACAGCTTGTTCATTCCACTTTGATTCCGTTGGTTAAATATTGTCCCCTGGATATGTGGGAGATTTGGCTGGAAAAGCTTCTACACCCATTGTTTGTTCATGTTCAGCAAGCTCTTAGCTGTTCATGGTCTAGTCTTCTACAAGATGGTAGAGCAAAGGTTCCAGATGTTCATGGCATTCTTAGTGGATCAGACTTGAAAGTGGAAGTGATGGAGGAAACGATTCTGAGGGATCTCACACGTGAGATGTGTTCACTCCTCTCTGTCATTGCTTCTCCTCCCCTCAATACTGGAATCCCTTCTTTGGAACAGTCTGGGAATGCTGGTCGATTAGACATGTCTTCGCGAAAAAGCTTGGATACAGTTGCATCATGCTCTATGGTTGGGTATGCTTTCTACTTGTTTTGTAATACGTTTCATCTATGATAGTTGAGCTTTAGTTGAGCTCTATGGTTGGGTATGCTCTTAGTTGAGCTTTATTTCTCACAAGTCTTATGTGTGACAGTTTCCTTCTAAAGCACGAAGGTGTAGCCCTTCCAACACTACGAATGTGTTTAGAAGCTTTTACATGGACGGATGGTGAAGCTGTGACTAAAATCTCTTCATTTTGCTCTGTGTTGGTAGTTCTTGCAATAGTAACGAATCATGCAGAACTCATCGAATATGTTTCTAGAGATCTTTTTACATCCGTTATTCAAGGTTTATCCCTTGAATCAAATGCGATAATCAGTGCTGATCTAGTTGGCATTTGTCGTGAAATATTTGTGTATCTTCATGATAGACACCCAGCTCCCAGGCAGGTGAGTAGTTTTCTTGTTTTCCATGACTTGGCTAATGTGTTTTTTTTTTCCTCCTCTTGATTGCATTTGGCATTTGAAATTCACTTGCAAAGAAGAGGATGCCAAAACTTTTGATGCTAATTGGTGTATTTTGTTGCTCTTTTTAGGTTTTGATGTCTCTCCCCAGTATTACCCCTCAAGATTTAGTTGCCTTTGAGGAATCTTTAACGAAAACATCTAGTCCAAAGGAACAAAAGCAGCATATGAGAAGCTTGCTTCAATTAGCAACCGGTAACAAATTGAAAGCACTAGCAGCACAGAAAAGTGTAAACATCATTACAAATGTTTCAAGTAAGCAACGACTTCTAATGCTTTTTCACATTCTACTTCTCCAACTTCTGAAAAGTATAGTCTGTAACAAAAAAAATCACTTTCCACAAACTCTCTAAACAATTAATCACTTTTTTAAAAAGCTTAAACAATCGGGCCCTTTATCTATGTTTAACCTCTTATAATTATGCTTTTCAGCGAGACCACGCAGCTCAGCTAATGCTCCTGAGTCTAAAGTTGATGATGGGGACGTTGTGGGGTTGGCAGCCATCATGTGATGATATTGTTTTGAGCTCATGGAAGGTTTTGTGTACAGGAGTGAGCTCGCATTGATAAGATTTTGGGTTTATGATTTATTTACTAACAAAGGGTTCGAAAGCATTTCTTTCCCCTGCAACATCAACTAAGAAATCGGGTGGGAGTACAAAGATTTTGTCCTTTCTCTTTACTCAGCAGCTTGTGAATCAGGTTTACTGCATGCAAACTTTCCTTCATTTCTAGTATATATTACCTCTCTTCAGTCACCATAACAGAATCACAATTGGCAGTTCAGACTTCTGTATTTAGTTTTTGCCAGAATTCAAAGTTCGGCTGCGATTTAGTTGCGTTATTTTATTCCTCACTTTTGAAACACAAATTGAGAACAGTGTTTGAATGTGGAGTTATTAGCCCCTCTAAATGTAGAATGAGATCCACTTCATTTTATGGGATCTACTTTATGTAAGAGTATAGTTGATTAATGTATCTAGTAACATTAAATTTGTTATTAATTTTTATCTTATTTTTTTTACCATATTATATTTATCTAGTTAATCAATGTGTTAGTCATTTTCTTTAATTCTTGCAAAAGAAAGAATGAGTTTATTTTATTAAATATTTAGTAGTTATCATTTATTGATTACGAAAATTACAAAGTAATTAAGTTTTAATTAAAAATAATTGATGCAAGTGCAATTAAGTTTTTATAAAAGGATAAAAAATAATTTTTATGATGTATATATTTTATTAGGGTCAACTTAGTGTAAGAGGGTTTAGATAGTATTTATATAATTTTAAGTTTAAATTTTGCTGTCAACTTAAAAAAAGGGTATTGGGACAAATAGGAGTTGCATTTCAACTAATATAGAGCAGCAACAAATTAAGAGAGTTTACCCATCAAATGTAGAATTGGATGCACTTCAATTATGGGGTTTATATGCATTACAACTCAACTAACAATAAAGTAACCACAAAATAAAAGGGAGTAGCTTGCTAAAAGCTTTTAGGCAGTTTGAAGTTGTTACTTGTTAGTGCTTCCCGTAATTTTGCATTTTCACTAAGATTGAAGACTTGAGGAAATGTTTAATTCAAAAGGAGGGAAAAGATTTAAATATTTAATGGAAGGAGGTAATTTCTTTTATATTTAATTTAAGGGAATGAGAGATTTTAATGAATGAGGAAGTGAAATAGTTTTTTTTTTGTTTGGTTTGTAAGAGATAAAGGGTTTTTAAAATTTACATTTGTACTCATAATTCAAAAGAAGGGAAGGAAAAGATTTGATGGAAGGAGGTAATTATTATTATTTATTTAATTTAAGAGAATGAGAGATTTTAATGAATGAGGAGGTGAAATGATTTTTTGTTGTTTGGTTTGTAAAAGAGATAAAAGATTTTTAAAATTTACATTTGTATTTATAATTTTGAATTTCAAAATATAAGAACATTTTAAGTATTAATTCTTTTTTAAATCCTCTCAATATTATAAAGAAGCGAAAATCAGACGAGAAGAGTAGCAAAATTTCATGCACTCCTCTTCTCTCCCCATCATTTTCTTTCCAATCAAATACCGGTAAAAATATTATTGAAAATGTTGTCAATCGTTAAACTCCACTATGCATTAAAATAAGATATGAATGATTTATATCTGCATCAAGTTAGATTATTGTTATTTAATATTTTCATTAAATAATTTAATTTTTTATTGAATAATTATGCTTAACTTTAAGACTCATATAAGAGTTGTTTTTGAAATGCAAATCCTGTTTAAATATGACTTGTCTTTTCAAATGGTAAGACATCTTAAATAAACTTACAAATCCAATTTTAAATACCTTTTTGCTATTAAATAAAAAGTTTTTATTATAAACACGAAAATATATAAATAATATCAAATATTATATTTTTCAATATTTTTTACTTTAATTTATGTATCAGTGCCCTTAAATAAATAGGTTATCGGAGTTAGATATATACGTAGGCAAGCATACTTAAATCTTGAAATACATTAACAAATATATAATTTCAAAATATTGCAGTCAAAATTTAATTAAATAGCATCATCGTCATAATTATAAGTAAGTCATTAGGTTTATAAGAAATTTTAAATAACTCAATATATTTCAAAGTTTTTAAAAAAGTGGTGACTTATTTAGTAAATAATTCTAATATAGCATAGATTTATTACCATATTAAGGTGTGATTTGAACTTGTAGACTTAACTAATTACCAATCTTAAGCATAAAGGTAAACTCATCAATTTTTACCAATCAAGGAATTTTCTTTTTGAATTTCTAAAACTATAATTTTTTGAGTAACAACCTTTCACTAGAAGTCTCTGCGATGAGAATGATATGTACGATGCATAGAGGTTTTACTGACAGAAACTGGTTTGATAGTTAGGTTGAAATGAATTGGAAGATTAGTTGGAATGTGAGGATAGAGAAAAGAAAGTGAACAAGTATATATATAGATAATATATAGATGCTTCTATGCTAAGTTAACCCATGAAGTGTCCTATAAATTTCCAAGGAACTTTCTTCTCAATTTCATTTTAAACTTCGTATATATCCTTTTCTTTCTTTCTTTCTTTTCAGGAATTCTCAAAGGTTCTTTGACGAGAGAGGAAGCCATACCATAGAATGGGACCCGGAGGTCCAGGCCCAGGAGGCCCTCCCGGTTGGGGTCCACCTGGCCCACCAGGCCCGGGATTTTTCGGTGGGTTTTGCGATATAATTAGTTCTTGGTAAGTAAAAACTTGGTATTTACACTATTTAAGAAGGATAATAACTCAATAATATTAATGGATGCATCATGCATGAAACGCAAAGTTTATTTATCTGTTTGAAATAGAAAAGGTGAAAAAGATAAAATAAAAGAATGACAAAGAAATTAGAGAATAGATGAAAGAAAAGTATATGATGAAAAATTTATGTTCTATCAAATATAAGTTATTCTTTAAAAAATAATGACGTGTTTTTTGTTTGTAAAATAATTAACAGATAATAGGGTTATTTTTAAACTGGTGCTTTGTTAAAATAATTTCCCAGTTAATAGTTACCAATTGTAATTAGTAAATGCTATTTTTTATTTATTTATTTTGTTTTATCTTGAACAGCGTGAGCTTTTTGTGCTGCTGCTGGTTACTACAAGATTGCTTTGGGGGTCCACCTGGGGGCCCATTCGGCGGCCCACCTGGCCCTCCCGGTCCACCTGGGCCTCCATGAGTTCCCTAGTTACCATTGTTTCCGATGTTATTATCTTCTATAAATACTACTTACCTTTATTGCATTCAGTCTGCTTTGTGAGTCTGTGACTTCCAAAGAGGAAAAAAAAAAGTTTTGCGTTATGTTGTGTAATAATCGAGCTATGCTCTATGAATGCATTTCTGTTTGATGTATTGATACATTCGTAGAAGGTTGAAGATTTTGATGATATATTGGTAGCATAAAGCACAGATGAACATAGTCATTGGAGAAAAAGAAAGAGTAACGTTTAAATAAAAATACAATTAGCCACTAAATTTTAATTCAATTTCCATGTCAAATTGCAAATATACCTCGATCCTTGCAACTCCAACGAACTGCACAATTTGATATACTCCCGCGTACAAAATTTGTGATCAATACCTAAACATTTGAACTTCATAGTTTTATAGAGTAATGAAAGTTCTACAATCTGGATGTTTGATATTGAGCCAATATCTTTTTCTCCTGCATCAGTAGAATATTTTTACATTGCATTACAAAAACTAATTAATCACAGGATTAAACAACCTTCAATTGGCAATATCAGACAATAAATCATATATATACCACATTAATCATAGAAAACCAATGCTGAATATAAAAAAATATAAATATTTTTTTTGCACGAATGTTATTTGGGCTTATATATTATATTAAAAAAAATATCTTTCAATTTTTACTGAAACACTTGTGATACCAATTTTAAAAGGACATACTTAATTTAATACTACCTCTGTAATTTTATAATAGTCATTTAAAGTTGTTTTACATATATCAAAAAATGTAATAAATTTTCTTGTTTTCTATATAATTATTTTGATGATTTCTAGTATAACCTTTTTCATTTTTCTTTATAATAATGCATATTAATTATCATATGTAAATTAATTAAAAATTAGGTAAGATATAAAAATATAATTAATAACATAGTAATTAATGTTATCTTAAAATTTAAAAATGATGAGTAAATAGAAATAAAATTTTACTAAAAATTTGACATATAAAAAGGAACAGAAGGAGTACTATTAAAAAAATTTTGCTGTTGATTGGAACAACCTTTTTCGCAGTCAATTTTCAACGTTCTCTATGGGATTAATTACGATGCTTACTTATCTCTTGTGTGACAAAATAATTCAAGCTTGAATTCTTTATTTCCTATCATTTGGAATTGCCAAGGATCTGAAATGCTGCGTTTTTTGTTATGGAAAGCATTGAGCATGTTTTGCGCCTTTGTAATGTTGCTAAGGAAGTGTGGGATGTGTTATTTCCAGAGAATGTGCGTGCTGGTTTTTTCATGCAAAAATTTGGTATCTGGTTGCTATCTAATTTAAGCTCTAAGATTCAGTGCAGTGGTAATAGTTGGTCTCTTGTTTTTGTTGTTACTATTTATAACATTTGGAAGAATAGGAATGGTAGAATTTTTGAGAATACGATTGTAGGCCCTTTGGATATTATTTACTCTATTCAATGTCAAGTAACAGCTACTTTATGCAGCATTTGTTGGGTTCAGCTTCCTTGAATTGTGTCGAGGCTGTGAATAGGAATGGAGGTGTCGCTTCAGTTGAAGGTGTTTTGCAGGATTTATGTGACACCCTTATTTTTTCCTTTGCAGCTCGTTTATAGGCCTTTGTGAAGTTGCTATTACTAAGTTGTGGGCTGTGAGCAATTTATCTGAGAATCTCTATTACATGGCACTGTGGCTTTAAGGAATTCATTGTGGAGTCTGATTCTAGCATCTATATCTGAGAATCTCTGGTGCATGATATTCTATCATTTATTAGATGAGGTGATGATTTTGTTTCCTTCATATCCTTTGTGAGGCTATGTTGATGTATTAGCTAAATTTGACTAATCTATAGATAGACAATTAAGAATTTTTTATTTTGTTCATACCTTTTTGTATAATTTCATTTTGACAGACAATTGTTCTACCGTGTATTTTTGTAATTTTTAGTGTGATCGAGAGTTCTTTCCCTTTATATTCACCAAAAAAAACATTATCTAGTCACCGATGAATAATAACTAGATACATGGGAGGATTTTGTGTATATTTTGTTGAGCATTGATAAAATTAATTTTAAATGAAACTAATTTTGTAAAATTTGATTTTGATTTAAATTATATTTGAAGTAATGTGATTTATGTGAAGATGTTTTTTTTATTATAAAAGTAAGTTAGTAATAAAATTCAACATAATTTTTTCATTTAATGAAAAAATTACCTAAAGTCTAAAGTTGTTTTAACACGATTGATTATTAGGTTTTGAGGTAGTATACACAATGTTAATTTTGAACATTGATATTTTTATTGTAATTCCTTTGAATCCAAAATAAAAACAAAAAAAAACTCAATTAATTGTAGATGTTTTTATTCTTTCTCTATAAGGGTTTGATTGGTTGAGAAAGAATAAGGTGAAAAAGAAAGAATAGATAAGAAATAAATGGAAGAAGAAAGAGAGAAGAAAGTAAGTGTATTTGATAGAGAGAAAATGAATGAGGAGAGAAATAAAAAAGGTTAAGTATTTTTATTTTAATATTATGAGTTCAATTATTATTATGTTATAATTATTTATAACATAATCTTTTAAATATAAATTTGATTATATTCTAAACTAAATTTAATATAAAAAAATAAAATAATAAAAAAAATAGTGCACCCTTATTTATTATGTGAAATTCACATAGAAAAACGAAATAGCCATTTATTCTTAAAAATTATTATAACAACTTTTTTTTTTTTGTAAAATATCGTCTGCTTACTATATTTCTATTCCAACATGAAAAAAGATACATTAACCACCACTTTTATTTATTGTTATATAAAAGGAAATACAACAAAATTCTATATTGTATTGAATTTAATCAATTACAAAAGATTTAGTTCATATTTGGTGATTCGTGTTATATTAATTTTAATATCAAAATGGACAAAAAATAATTAATAGTTATTTGTGTGATCTACGTTTAAGGTGTATAGATGAAAATCAAAACATTCATTTAATCAATTAAACTCATGTTTTGTATGTTCAAACAAGTTTAATTCATGTTTTAATCGATTATTATTTTAAAATAATCAGTTAAATAATTTCGGTTATTGACAATTATTGTGTCTTATTATCATTTATAATAACAATAATAATAAATAAAATAATAATTGTTATATGTAAACAAAAATCAAAGGAATCAAGAAAGAAATAGTTATCCGATTAGAATCGAATAAATACTCATTTCAGTCCTTAAATTTAGAAGACATTATCATATTAATTTTTAAGTTATAAAATTGTAAAATAAGTCTATGAAATTGTTAATTAATAATCACATTAGTTCAAAATTCTGAAGAAAAAAAATATAATTAAAATAATAATATTGATATATATTGAAGAACTAAAGTGAAAGTAAGTAATTGAAATAAAAGATGTATTTAATATTCTAGAAACTGATTTGATAATTGTTAATTTGAAGGACTAATGAGAAAATGTATTTTAAATATAAACGCAAAGTGATTGTTTACAGGAGAGCATTAAATAAGCGGAAGATAGGTATAGTAGAGCATTTAATAGAAGCAACAAAGAGTGTAAAATGAAGTTGTTGGTTGATGACTTATAGTTTAAGGGTTGGAGCGAAGAACGGTAGGTAGTTAATGTTGAGATAAGGAACGCGTCTCGCAACAAAAAGGTTCACTTACCGGTCAAGTGTTGGAGACATGGGAAACAGATGAATATCTGAGACTGAGAGTCACTTGCATAAGAAAAACAAGTGTTATAAAAGATGGAAAGATAGACCTCAAATTAACAAGAGATATGCCTCCACCGCCAGGGCCTCCCGGCGGTATATGCAGCTGCATATGTAACCTTCTATCTTCTTGGTAACTTCTACTTTCACTCCACTACAACTATGAATTTTTGTTCAGTTATATTATTTCCTTTGAAATTGTTGTTCTAAGCATGCTAATAACCCTTTTAACTACAACAAAATTCTGGGGTATGTCATTATGTCTTAACTCTTTTTCAGGGTCTATATATAATAATTTGGGTATGTTGTTTAATGGCAGTTTGTATTGCCTGTGTTGCTGCTGTCTCCTGGAGTGCTGTTGTGGGCCAATGTTTGGTGGACCTCCTGGGCCACCTGGGCCTGGCTTCTGATCAACATAGATGCTTGAGTTCGACGAGGAAATAAAAGAACGTCAATCAGTCTGTGTGAGATGGTTGTTTACTGGCAACCGCTTTATGCTTCTACCATATTTATTTCAAGGACACTTCGTGCTACTTCTTATGTATGAGTTCTATTCTTTTGTTTCCCAGAGCATTCCTATGTGTTTTCAATCAATCGTACTAAGGCTGAATGTAAAAGCTATAGCTGATAACTGCCTCGTGAGTTGCTGTGTCAAATAAATGTGAAAGGTCGTGATACTCTTACAATAATATTACTTATGTCCTCTATCTCACTTCAGAGTTACTTCCCTGGGTAATTTATATATGAACTTTCGTCAAATTCCAAATCCACTGGAAAAAATGCTATCACTTGGGTTCTTTGTTTTGAAAATGCAGTTGAAGAATGTATACAATTCCACACATCTCAACCCACAAACAAATATACCATGTCAAAATTAAAAACAAAAAACATACATAACCTTTTAATTTAATTGGTTATATAAATATGAACCGTATGTTTAAATATGTAGCTTTTGCTTCTTTGGTTCTGTTGGATGTGAAAACACTCGCACGTGAGTAACAAACGCGTATAAGTGCATGTTTGGATTAGCTTTTGAAACATGATTCTACATTCTCTCTACGTTAGATATCAATTCTAAGTGGAAGCAAAAAAACTTTGTTTCAAGCAAACGTGAAAATTCAGGCTAGAGTTAAAAACCAAACATGCACTAAATGACCCAAGTCTTCGAATCACGTTGAATGACGAAAGGGACTACATTTCTCTAAGAGAAAAATGATTACCTAACACTTTCCAAGCCTAGTTGTCTTTTAGTGAGGCCCGGCTATATAGCATATTATTAAATTCGTACATGAACCAAAATTGGAGGATTTTTTTTACATTTAGTACAACACTGAACAAATGATAAAAGTACTAATTTCAGAAACTCTAACCACTTAACCTGCTGAGTGGATAAAATTAACAGGTAGTGATCACACGATGTAACAATCATGAAACTCGAGTATACGTTCTTCTAACGATTTCAATTTCTCCTTGGATTAATTCCTACAGTATGGCACAGAAACATGTCAATATAACTACCCATTTGAATTATGCGGTAGTTAAAAGGACTGAAGTCCCTTTTAAGCTGCTGAGATGACAGCATCTTGCAAAATCCTTTTTATTCATCGTCGTCTTCTTCAGGTGCCTCTTTTAGCCACTACAACAAGAAACGGTAAATGGCTTAAACAAGAAAGTAATGCATCTTATAGGGGATAGTAGTGACAACGCAAGTAACATAACCTAGTTCTATAAGTGCGAAAAAATAACAATGGCACTTACTTGAATTAATTTTTGGGCCTGCTTAACAAAAACTTTATCTGCCTCATCAGCATCTTTTTTCTCATCTTCCCAACTCAAAATAGCATCTTCATTTACAACATCTTCATTATACAAGTGGTGCAAAATCTGAAAGCAATTAAAAAGTCATAACATGGAGGAAAGCCATTACGTGTGAGAATGTAAAACACACTCCTACTGCATTACAAGTAGTATATGAGTGGTATGAAAAGGCTACTGTTAAAGATGTCTAAATCTCAATACCACAGAAGTACTTTGATGCTGCCAACAGATGCACAAGAATGAGAGCATGAGAACTTTCCGAAACCTTCCTTGGGTTAAAATTCATTTCATAACATTATTAATTGACTTACGTTAAGACAGAACAGCAATGTATAAATTATGATTCATATATGTTAAAGGAATTTATATTTGACCAAATGAATATAACAATATTTAAAATTGAGTTCACCGTTAAAGTTTTCATATCAGATGTGCATTAAGATGCGCAAAATTAAAAAGACTAACTTGTGAAAAATATAAAATCCATTCAATAATTATGAAATATATGCAGCTACAGATATGGTTCAATGCATCTTTTAGATGTCCATACTAACAGAATGAGACATCAATTAATCTAACTTGTAAAAGTTAAGCATACCTTTGTGAACAATGGAGCAAACTCCTTTGCAGATTCCGAACACATTTCTTCAAATTTTAGTATTATTTCAATCTGGAGTACAAAAAATTAAAACAGATGAGCAGAGGGCAAGCCATTAAGTAATGGAAAACAAATAGGATAGTATCAAGTAAATTGCCACTCTGTATTTGAGCAAAATTCTATTATTGGCAAAAAACATTGGGCAATTCAAAAAGATAATGATCTTTTAAAACAACTCAAAGTTCATTAAAATAAAGAAGTACTACCATGTTTCGCTCAATCAAAAATCTTTGACAGTTCTCTTTCTTTACCCGATTAGTAATATTTTTAAAGATCCCCACACAATGTAACTATTTTTTAATATCTGTGTTCACACACAACTCAGTTTCAGATGTGTGTGTGTGTATGTATAAAGTACAACGAGTACAAGGCAGACAAAAAAGAAAGTGATGTAACAAGATAACAAAAAAGTGTTTACAATACAAATATGAATAATACAAAATATATTTGATCTAACAAGATAAAATAACCAAGCTCAAAACAATCCATAAGTGATTTTATTTGATACTGCCAGATAAATCCTAACTTACGCAGCAGAAAAAACCTAAGAGTTTATATATGCCCTGTTTGAATAAACTTTTCAGTAAACACTTACGGGAAAAGAGAATAAGAAAAAATGAATTTAAGTTTTTTCCGTGAGATAAAATTAACTTAAGTTAAAATCAGCTTTTAGAGAAGCTAAATGAGAAAGCTTTTATAAAAGTTGAAATGCATAAATTGATTTTAACTTAACAGAAGAAGCTTAAATCATTTTACCTTATTTTCTTCCCCTATAAGTGTTTATTGAAAACTGAGATGTTCGTCTAAACAGGCTATACTCCAAAACAAGTTAAAAAATTAAGTCAAAAACAAAATACACCATACATGCCAATGTAGATATTTAATCAGCATGAGAACAAGTCTTATCTTGAAGCTTATAACTGGACATTGAATGAAACCATTGCACGTTTAAATTAGCAATATTGTGAACAAAAGTCATATCTTGAAGCTTATAAATGGACATTGAATGATGATAAAATCATGAGAATAAGAAAGTACATTCTGCAAAATGCTTTACAAAAACATAAATAAAAATATTGAAAAGATAATTAGTAAATTTTCTAATAAAAATAGCAACACAAGTGAACATGAATAATTTAAACAAGTAAAGGGGAGAGAATTTGACAGATGCACCTGATCATCTATGTCAATCAGATAGGTTGTAAGAACCTGTTTCCATTTTGTAAATACAAGCTGAACATTTTTAAGCAAGCTATCTGAAAATTATTCATCCCAAGAAATAATAAAATCAGTACATAACCATTAAGAATACACAAATAGATGCATAAATAAAAAAATAAAGTAAAATAACTACTAAAAAGTCAATCCCCAGTAAAAAGTGAATAAAAATAAAATAAAATAAAATAAAATAAAAAAAAGATGAGCAACAAAACCCAATAGGAGAAGTCAGCACCATGGATTAAATCACAACATCAGACTCTATCAAAACAATCTAGAGTATCTTGTTTTTCCATGATTTACTCTAATATTTTCTCGGGTCTTCCTCTACCCTGTTTACTCACTTTTCACACTAGACCCTCCAGTTGATTAACGTATCACAATTGTTGTGTAGGTTTTGCTATTCAGTCTCTCTAACAAGGTGACTCCAAGTATGTTCAAGTTCTAAAATGAATTCTAGAAGTAGTTTTAATTTAATAAGGAATTCCATTTCCATGTAAAGAAACAAATGGAAGGGATTAAAAAGATTGTGTAACAAACTAGCAAGAAAGGGGGAAGCTCACCAGCTGAACTATGGGGGGTGTCTAAAGCAAACTTCATCATGGCATAAAATACAGCTCCGGCACAATCAGCAGTTAGCTTATTGTACGACAACCTACCATGAATATAAAACCAATGCTTATATAAATTAATTCCCAGTGAATACATATTTAAAGTGGCATCATATAAGAAACCATCAAAATTGCAGAATGATAATTGTTCAATACACACTCCATAAAGATATCATGCCTTGTAGACAAAAAGGAGTTGGAAGTTGGATGGTTTAGAAAAGGCACAATTCTTTCTCTTTTCAAGGAAAATGTAAAACAATTAGTGCTGTCATTTGATTCCTCCCCACTGACTGTACCCATAATTCAAGAAATTCTAGGCTACACCAATCACTGTCTGCCTCCTCCATTTCAAATTTCTCAATGAGCCAAATATTATCAAGCCGAACTGAGTTGAACTGAGCTTGGCTCAACTTGACCCATTTCCAAAGTAACAACTGATTAAGCTTCATGGCTAAGGCACTAAGCTAATATTAATCATGGTTAAGCTATATACATTTCAGTTAGCTTATGATGTAAGATCTCATGTCATAAGCTTATTAAATAAGTGCTTAAGTTGTTTACCCAAACACAACCTTAATGTCATCCATGAAAAGATAAATAAATATATATTTTTCACATGACAAAAACTTGTGAAGTTTTAACAAGACAATCCATTCCTCTGTGTGTGTGTGTGAGAAAATCAGATGAAATGGTATGGGTCTGCAATTCTGCATACATTAAAATTTAAAGAATACATATAAGCATATTACTTACTTCAACGAGTTGATTTCTAAGTTTAAATGACTTTCTTGTATGTTTTCGTGCACAGCCCTGAGAAAGGTTGCTTCAACCTGCAAATGATGGAGTGCAGGAAAATCTGATATCCATAAAACGCATCTGACACAAGTTTACAGGTCAAAATCCTAACCTCTTTCTCAAAGTAATAAGAGTCTTCTTTAGAATCTTCATGATCATCATCATCTGAATCATTAGAATTAGGTTTCAGCTCTCCAGAAAGTGGAAGAAAACTGCCATCATGAGTTAATTCCATATCATCTTCCATAGTTTTAATTGCCTCCAGAATTTTATCTTTTGGAATAGGTGCCACTGAATGTCTCCACTCTTCTTCATGGCCTCCTTCACATGTTGACCAAACATGACCAGCCCCACCCATACCTAGCTGATCAATAAAAGAAAGTGAAATGAGAAACATTAAATTCCGTAACCAAATATTGGGGTTCATTTTGGTATATAATCTAATAATTTATTTTTTTTAAAATGAATCTAAGCTTAATCTTCATGATATACTGAGAATAAGTTAACACATACTGAAATAATGATGCAAATCATAAATCAAAAAAGCCTCATGGAACTAACCTCTGAAACAGGACTAAAATGTGTCTTATCCACTTCGGAAGCAATCTCTACATCTG